GGCCCAAGGTGGAAACTGTTCCACGACAAACTTGGAGGGTTTGCCGAGAGATGGCGCCACATTTTCGGTATTTTTATTTATTTAAATAACTAAGCATTAGACTATCATTAGTGCTCTAATCGACAATTATTAGTTGAATTTTGATAATTACGATGTAAAATTACATTTATATATAGAGAAAAGTAAAGAATTTGTGTTTAAAAATGTTTGATGTTTGTAGCGCCATCCAACGGGCCAAGGTGGAAACTATTTCACGACAAACTTAGGGGGTTTGCCGAGAGATGGCGCCACATTTTTTGGTATTTTTATTTATTTAAAATTATTTAAAATAAATAATAGTTCTTTAAATAACTTAATAACAGTCAATTATTAGTGTACATATAAACAATTAAAATATTAATTTCGATAATTACGATGTAAACTTTTAATAATCTAAATAAATAAATAATTAAAATGTGAATATGTCAAAAATTAGTTTGGACCCCGCCGCTAGATGGCGATACCGTTTTTGGGTCCATTAACTGCCGTTAGTGCTTTTATATATAGCAAAATACAAATGCAATGAATGCTATGAATAAAAACTATAATTGTTAACATTTATCGTACTGTTCATTCCTCTGGGGCAATTATGCATCCCATTTATTAACTTGCCCGAATTATGCGAGCCAAGTAAAGCTCGGTTAACTTTTCCGAGCTTTCCGACAGCGTTATTATAGAATTATAGAGTGACGCAAATGATTCAACCACGAATATGGGTTACAAAATCTTGAAATAATAGATTATTATATTATTATATTATACACATGGTACAATACATATATAATATTAAATAATATAATAATTTATTACGAATATATTATTGATAGGGGTGTGCGGGATCCAGGTCGGGACGGGAATTCCTCCCGCGATCGGGACAGAATTCCGAGAATTTCAGAATCCCGAATACATCCGGGATTCACGTGAATTTCCAGGATCCCGAAACCATCCGGGATTCCCGAGAATTTCGAGATCCCGTAAATGTTCGGGATTCCCGGGAATTTCGAGATCCCGTTTATTCGGATTGCTGAAATTTTCAAGAATAACAACACTTTCGGAAATCCCAAATATTATTCTATAGCCCGTACATTGTCCGGAATCCCGAACATTTTCGAGATCCCGTACATTCTCGGGAATCCCGGATTTGTGCGGGATCTCGTGTATCCTCGGGAATCCCGAATCAACTCGGGATCCCGCATAAACTCGGGAATCCAGATTATTTTCGGGAATTCCGAATATTTTCAGGAATCCCGCGCACCCCTAATTATTGAATATATCGAATATAAGCGAACATATTATTTCAAGTTTTTGTAACCACGAAAGGGAACGTCTGATGACTTACGTGTTGAAGTTTGTTGGGACTCGATTCGAATTAGCGACCATGCTTATCCCCTTGATTTGAATCTGGGCATCCTTGACCAATCTTTCCACGTCTTCAAGAGCCGCCGACGTCTGTGGGCTAAGGATGGGCGAAATTGGTAGCGTAAAGGTGGATCTTTTACTGTCCGCCTAAAATCCAAACGTTCACCTCTATTATACTTGGTCAAAGCTTTAATTGATAATTAAAGAAACGCCTGGATCGACACTGCTTTTAACCAGTAATTAATAGCCCGTTGTTTCGTCGTAATAAATAATAAATACCTGATCTTCGTCGACGAGAGTCGCTGGGGTCGATGGAACCTTCCTCGCGCTCCTGATGGCGTCCGTCTTGGAAATTGATCTCTTCGACGCTACGAGTCTGGCACGGCCTCTCTCTGATTGAATTTCGTTTTTTCGATGGGTTCTCGGCGTGACAATTTTACAATAACAATCGCAGACAGATCGAGAATGCATTTTCGAGTGACAAGACGCGGATGAACGAGGAACGGTCTCCTTACGTAGATCCAGGTACTCCAATGTGTCGTGATCTTTCCTGTAACCGATTAATCGTAGCTGTTAGTAAAATGGAAGCAGCATGGTTAGATCTTGGCACTGGATGTCGAACTCGAGATGGAGAACGAAGAATATTTCGTGTTACGTTTAGCAAAACTATGAATATTTAGTTAGTTTTTGTAAAATGATTGAAAATGATGTAACGAACCTTGGCGCTTAGGGTCGAAACATAAATAAAGATCGTACTAATAACGGTTACTACTCGATCGTACTAATAACGATCGTAATAATAACGGTTGTTGCTTGGAAAAGAACGTGGCTCGCATTTTCTTTCACGAGAAGAGGTAAAATAAAATGTTGCGTGAAGAAATAGGGGAAGGGACAATTTTAGAACTTTTTTTTTTTATATTGTGTATAAATAATCTGTTAGTCTCTGTAACATCTATCAGGTTGTCCCAAAAGTTTCTCTCGTTTTATTAATAAGTAATACATACACGATATTTTATGTCTAATGTTACATTATTGAATTGTGTACGATTCATTTTGCTCCATTATTGTTACAACATGAATATCTATGAAATTAGATTGTCTATTTATATAAACACCACCGCACAAAATAATTGAGTGCACATTACGAAAGAAACTTTTAGGACAACCCAATATAAATTCTTCAATTTTCATATATATATATATATATGTATATCAATAATGTAACATTAGACATAAAATATCGTGTATGTATTACTTATTAATAAAACGAAAGAAACTTTTCGGACAACCTAATACCAAGTACACCTATTTCTGTGGTTATTACGTACATGTATATCTACATAATATTTTTGTTTAGAATAAAGAATGTTCAATAACGATTATATCTTATTAAAATGATGGACAGATTGGATAACGTTTGAATGACGTTTGGAAGGTATTAAAGTTTCCCCGTTTCCTGGAGACCTGATTCCGTCCAGAGCAGGATCAATACATTCACAAGCGACGACCGATCGAATACTTTTACAGAAAGCTACAGCAGGAGAGAATCGGTTGGTAGGTGACGTCGTTGCATCTGCAACGGACTTCCTGCTTTAATACTTCCGGAGGCCTCTGATCAATAAAACGATACGTCAAAGGTACCTACGTAATTCGCGACGCCATTTTAAAGCGAATGTACCAGCGCATAGGATCGTGATCGCGCAAGGTGAATCATCTAACAGTATAATTTAATATGCTTTCAGACTTCTTTCACGATCTTCGACTACTATTTACTTGTTATTATTATTAAAATATACACGATATACGCACAACTATATATAAACTATATCAAATGCGTTATTAACAATTATCGAATAGATCGATTCGGATTTCAGTGAACGCGAGCAATATTTTTATTTCTAATTTCTTTCGATTCAGTTTTTCATCTTCGATACCTTGCAACGACTTTAATAACTAGCTGGTTATCGTTGCTCGCTTAATTCATATAGCTATTCATGTTTATTTTGTGTGCGACCCTTAACGGACTACACAAGGAACTTCCCGATTTCCGATTACAGCGCCGTCTATCGCGTATAAAAAAAATGTTTGAAACTAGTGTTTCGAAAAGGTCTCATAGCCAGCTTTCACAGTGCATGATAAAAAATGAGGTGTTCCGTTAAAAAAATCATGTCGACCTTGACGTGACTTTGACCGATCCTTTGAAGGTCAAACGGACACGATCATTCGATAGAATTTTTGAAACCCTAAAACATTTCTCTAAACCATTTTTCTCACAAATGTTCCATTTTGGAAATATTTGACTGTTTCCATAATTTTGGAGCACCCTGAAGGACTTTGGGGCAATTATACAATAAAAATTCTTAGACAATGCGCGGCTTATGTTTAGAATCATTATCCTGGTAAAATTTAAAATCTTCAGCAATCCTAATTTTTTCTGCACTTTGTTTTAAATTGCCTTTTAAAAGATTCAAATAAGCATCCTTAACCATGATGCCATCGATAAAAACTAAATTGCCAACGCCGGAAGTCGAAATGCATCACCACGCCGTTACAATGCCTCCTCCGTGTTTTATCGTACCCGAAAATCTGATATTCCTTCGTTTGTTTATTGCAGTTATGTGATTTATGTAAATTTTTGGATTAATGTATACATCTTTAATAACATTAATAAACGACTTATTCGTGGAAAAAGTAACGAAGACAATTTCTTTTTTAATAACTACGATATTAAGTCACAAAGCTAACCATACACTAGTGTCCGAATATTTCTGGGAGTCACTGTATATATGTTTTCTTCGTCCGTTTCATCGTACTGTTACAATTAAACGATGCTCCTCGTAGCCCTAGTCCATCCCCTTTAAGACTACGGTTAGTCAACTTTCCCGGGTTACCCATGCATCGCACGCCTAATGGAACGTTCGAGCACTATACCGCGATCGAACAAGAGGTTCCACCACCGAGACACGTATGGTTCCACGAATCGTGTGCAATTCACGATAGACGAAAAAGTTGCTCGGCGAGTCGCGATGGCCAAGTTCCGTTTCCAAGGGCGCGTGTTCCTATCATTTCTCACGTACACTAATCGCAAATCATCGAGTTGTCGAAGCATGGCTCGAATACCACTCGCCGATGAAATTCCTTTCACGGTGAAATCACTCATTGGCGAGAAATGTCCACGTGAACTTGGAATTTCTCATCGACGATCCCTACTTTCGATATCGACACGTTTCGAGTCGATATCGCAGCCGCAGATTAAGCACGCCACGAGATAAATTCCAGAACAATGTATTAGACTACAGATTTTGTGTATTTGTATGTTTCACTTTCAGAAAAACGAGAGAAATTTCCGCGCTTGAAATATACACGATTATCAATATTAAGTAATTACGTTGTTTTGATCGTTTTCGACTGATTCAATTTTAAGTAATCGAACGTAGCGTATTGTTATAATGGAATCGATTGGCAAGTTAAATGGTTGCAACACACTCGTGCTAATAAATAAATGTTTACTGCGATTCGTATCGACGTGTTACATAAACAAAGTACTTGGAATGAAATTCGGATAAATGAAATGATCGGGGTTCAAATACATAAGTGTATACGAGAAAAATATGTTTCTACGATTATTAAATTTTAATCTAATAGAGGGATACTTATGGTATCCACGTTTCCTTAATTTAAAAGATTCTTTTCCAAGTTCTCCCTTGAACTGCGACACGATCTTCCTGTAGGTCGCGCCCTCTAGTTTGGAAAACACTGCACTAAAGAGCATAAAAGCCATTCCGCGACTCTCGTGTCGCACTTTACAGTGTACAAACACGTATAATACTCATTTGTGCCAAGCGCGATTGCTTCCATACAGTAAAGAAATCATAAAATACGTTATTTACAAATCAAGATTCAAGATTGTTATCGAAACTTGGCAGTAGACGAACTGTGATAGGAATGTGCAAATACATGTAATACTGATTTGTACCAAGCAGTGATGGGCAAAACCCTAGGCTTCGAATAAATCTGAAGTTTGCCGACACGTTTGTCTCATTTCCTCTTTTGAACATTTTCCAAAGAAGGAAACAAGAGAAACATATCGGCAAACTTCAGATTTATTCGAAGCCTAGGGTTTTTCCCATCACTGGTACCAAGTGCAATATCACACACGTGCGAACTAGGCAGATAAATCGATAAAGAAATTAAATATAAAATTGAAGATCCAACGATACGATAACGTATGGGATTGCCCTACGTCTATCCCCTTTAATGGCGAACCCGTTGCGCAGACAGCGAAGCGTGGCTGGCATTCGAGCCGTCTGGAAGAGACAGATCAATATGCCGCTTTTCCCGTTTTCCCCCTGCTCTCTTCCCCACTTCGTCCTGCTTGTTCCCGAGCTCTCCCGTTTCTCTCTCTTTGGCCCACCTATCGCACAACAGCTGAACATTGGCATTGATTTTCAAAGTTCAGGAAGTCTTCCCGGAGCCCGAGACCAACGACGAGTGTTGTGACCAGACTACGCGTCGCGTATACATACTTTGGGTGGCGCGACGATCGATGGCGCGGTCGGTGACGCGATATGCATAAATGATACAAATACGAGCCGATTGAGGTTATGTTTAGTATCAGGTTGTCCCAAAAGTTTCTTACGCTTTATTAACACGTTGACTGCCAAACAAATATTCTTTAAAGTTTCTACTAAAATGAAATATTATTTAAACTATTGGAGACTGCATAATCAAACATTTATCGTCGTATTTATTCTTGTAATTTCATCAAAATTCATGGATTTGGTTTAAATTCATTTCCTTTGATGCGTGACATTCGGAATTAATTTCGTTAGGTCTTCAGTGGAAAGCACTGTCACCCACATGTGTATTAATAAGTAATACATGCACAACATTTTATGTTTTATATTACATTACTGAATTGTGCACGATTCATTTTGCTCCATTGCTATTACAACATCAACATCTAAGAATTGGATTGTCTATTTATATAAACACTACCGCACAAAAGAAATGAGTGCAAATTACGAAAGAAACTTTCGAGACAACCTAATATAAATACGAAATATTTCACACATTAGGCGTAGAAATTCATTCTGCGACTGTATGTTCAATCATTTATGACCCTAGGTCTTCCACTTAAACTGGAGCTACAAAAAACAAAGAATTGATTTCTGCACCAAAGGGCTTATACAGGGTGTCCCAAAAGTCGGGGAGGAGCCGGAAATGGGGGGTAGCTGAGACGATTCTGAACAACAATTTCCTTTGCAAAAATGTCGGATGGGGCTTCGTTAAGGAGATATTAAGAGAAAACCCCGACCAATCAGAGCGCGCGTAGACCGTTCGAGCGGCCGCGGTAGCGAAGGCTTCGCGCTAGACGGCAGCGTCAATGTCCTTCGATGCACGTCGAGTCACTTGTTCGCGTACAAGCGCGGCCGCCAACGCGTAACCTTCGCTACCGCGGCCGCTCCAACGGTCTACGCGCGCTCTGATTGGTCGGGGTTTTCGCTTAATATCTCCTTAACGAAGCCGCATCCGACATTTTTGCAAAGGAAATTTTTGTTCAGAATCGTCTCAGCTACCCCCCATTTCCGGCTCCTCTCCGATTTTTGGGACACCCTGTACATCTCGTTGCATCTTTATGAAATTATTATCGATTTGCGAGAGATTTCCAATTAAAATAAAACCAAATCTAACCGTGCTCGGCTGTCCAATAAATACAGACGCAAATACGTTTTTTTTTTTTCGTTGCCAATATCCCCCGATTGCACAATGCAAATTCAACGAAACCCAGTATGCGTGGTACTCAAATGGAGTAGAATTGTTTGCATATATGCATCGAATTTTTTTTATCCCCTAGTACACCTGAAATTGCAAGAATGGTGAAAATTTCGTTCGCACCTACAGCATAAGTCAAATAATTTCAAGTAGATCTCAAGCACACGTGATAGTCTATCGCTATGCTAAATATCAAAATCGCTCTTTTCTTCGCTTCGAATTTTTCTTTTTGAATATATTGTTCTGATATTGTTATAACCAGGGGATTTTTCGGTTTGCATTATTCAGCGATCTAAATCGCGGATTGCATTTTCCGCAGCGTTGCGATTCGTTCTCTTCCTCGTGCGATAAAGGAAAACTCGCGATGCGTAGAACGATCGGCGAGAGATAAAATGCGTAGAAATTGCATTAAGTAAGAATACAACGAGCGATGGTAATGAAAGGAAACGTACTGATGGCTCGCGAACACGCGAGGGAAGATTCGCCATCAACGGCAGGCACTATAAATAAAAACACGGCATTATTACACATCAACACATATATTTTTTTGCATTTGCATGTTGCATACATACGATAAACAGTACAGTGTTACGCGTTTCTCGAGGTATGGTATACTAGAAAATTTTTTTTTTTTTTTTTTTTTTTTATTCATTATCCACTACTACAATTGCTATTCGACGTATTGTTTCGTACTTCCGCTTTTTCTTCGTGTGTAATCTGTGTAGCTATAACGAGAATCGTAAAAAATAAAACGTAACGAACGATAGACAAAAGTGCGTGAGACGACGGTTCGCTTTTAAGAATTTCAGAGTAGCTTCATGGATTTCCGTTTCGAGTAAAAGCGTTGCGTGAAAAAGGTTTCGTGGCTTGGTCGTCGACAATGAAATTGGATAAATGCAAGCGTGCGACACGCTAGAGTGTTGGGTAAAACGCGATTACAGTACAGGGCCGTGACTGGGCGGGGGAGACACGAGGAGCACCTTAAAAAATTAGACGTCCTTTCAAAGTAAGCAACGATTCCAAGATATATTACCCCTTAACTGTAAAACATTTACTCCCTTGTTACGTTTGTATCTCGAGAGATAATGTTAACGAATCGGTTCGATCTGAGTTATCAAAGCGTTCAAACCGACAGTTTTCTCTAAAAAAATTCGAGAGTAAAATTTCGTTTACTATACTAAAGAACATCCATATTTACGTGTTATAGTCCCAGGCTCTAGGCTACCTAGGCACGGTCCTGATATCGCAGGCGTTCGATTTCGCAACGAAACGTCCATCTTTCTTTTTCTCCGCGCATTGGTCCAATTTCGCTCATCTGGCTGACCGAAAGGAATCGAGAGGCCAGCAATACAATTCGCTGACTGGCCAGAAACGTTACGCACCGACCGAGAATAATAAACGCGTTCGTGTTCGGAACCAATTTCTCCACGTCCGCAAAACATCGTCCAAAAATAGTTGTCGGGAAATTGAGCAAGCGTTTTCCAACGTATCGATCGCGTCCAACTGTGACAGACAACGAATACCAAAAAAAAAAGAGAGCAACGATCGGCACTCGGCGCAGAGATCGGGGGGGGGCAAAAATATTCGATTGGAAAATATTTACCTTGACGTACGCGCAAGCTCTATGTCGATACAGGTTTGTCCTTTGTATCAGGTTGTCCCGAAAGTTTCTTTCGCGAGTTGCACTCAATTATTTTATGCGGTCGTATGTTTATACAGGGTGCTGCAGAAATAACTCCCACATTTTAACCCTCCGGCACCGGCGCTGGGTCATTTTCCCGACGTTAATTTCCAAGTCTTATTTCTCTGTCATCGAAAGTGTCGAGACATGTGTTTACATGTGAAACGTTTCGAACTTTATTGCAAAAGAAGTAGTTTTCGGGACAAAATATTAACAAAAACAATTGGTTACGAGGCATTATTAATATGATAATAATATTTGCATAGAAAAATTTGATTTTAAGCCTTCTTTTGTAGCGCGTAAGGACTTGGATTTCGATTCCTCAATAGTGACCCGGCTCCGTCGTTCATGCGAACGCCCGGTGTCCGAGGGTTACAAAAAAACGATTGAAAAAAAGTGGAACGAGATACCACCAGAAACTTTTTATTTCTTAAACCTAGATATAAAAGAGTATTTTTTACTTTATGTTTTTTACTTTATGTTGCCTTTACGGGCGATACACATTTGGATTCGTTCTTGAAAGTTTTCCATCACTCTCGCTAGCATTTCGGGGGAAATTCTTTCAATTTCCTTTTGGATGGCCTCCTTCAATTCAAGGACCAAGGACGATGTTTGAAAACCTCGGCCTTGAGGTATCCCCACAGAAAAAAGGCACATGGACTTCAATCCGCCGAGCTACGGTCCATACAGGGCGTCGTCAGCGCGAAATTTTGCAGATGATGTTCAAATGTGTATCGCCCGTAACGGCCACCATTTGGACGACATAATTTTTAAAACATAAAGTAAAAAAAAAACTTTTTTTATATCTAGATTTAAGAAATAAAAAGTATCTGGTGTTATCTCGTACCAATTTTTATTTTTCAATAGTTTTTTAAAATGTGGGAGTTATTTCTGCCGCACCCTGTATAAATAGACGATCTAATTTCATAGGTATTCATGTTGTAACAGTAACGCAGCAAAATGAATCGTGCACAATTCAGTAATGTAATATAAAACATTAACTATTGTACATGTATTACTTATCAATAATTAGAAAGAAACTTTTGGGACAACCTAATACTTGGAAACAGAGACCTGGGCACTTTTGATACGACATTGTTTCGATAATCTTTTTATTTTTATTTCAATAAAAAATTTGCCCAGGTCTGCTTGGAAACATGAATTCTTTCTATGCATAAAAGATCTGAAAAATGCGTAAGGATTCTCCGAATACCTGCTCGATAGAGCAAACTTCGTAAACGTAATATTACAAGAGTTCTTTTATTCGTTTCTTTACTTGATTTTTTTTTTATTCGAACGAATGTTTGCCCATCTCTGCGCTCAGACGACGAATTCGACGACCAAATCAAGCCGCGAGAAGATAAAAAAAAGGCTCTCCAGCAGTTCACTCGCGAAATTAATTCGTTTATCCCTCCATGCCTACCGCATTGTATTTTTTACCGATTATAAAAATTGTAACCGAAAATAATCATTTTAAGTTACAATGAATACTATCAATTTTTATTTTGCTTAAGCGCGTTGTATCCTCCGTTACTAAAAAGAAAAAGAATGTTCTGTTCAGATGCAGGACACGAAGGAATTAACGCAACGACCGAAGATCGAGAGCACTAATTGTTAACAAACAAAGAGATCGTATCTGCGTGAGAAAGTATCAATTGTCGTTGTTTTTCCACCATTCATCGTTCTTTTTTTCCTTCAATTTATTCTTTCGTCTAATGAAAGTCCCTTTGCATTAGGGTTGCAAACCCTTAAACGAGTGCCGTAATCAACTTGACATCAAAGGTAGGAACTACCTGCCTCGGACTAAAAAATATCACGTACAGCCTCTGTAAGTATTGCTACGATCAATTGTGCTCTTTTTATCGGCCCTCCTGTCTCTCGTTTCCACACTCGTACGCGCATGCATTCACTCCCTCTCTCTCTCTCTTTCTCTCTGTCGCATTCTCTCATTCATTTTCTCTTCAATTTTGCACGATACCTCGGTACATAAGTTTGCTTACGCTACGCAGATAGCCTCTACGGTTGCTTCGTTTTAAGCTAGGCGCAAACTCAGCGCAATGGTGACGCAGCGAACTATATACCACGTTGCATTGCACGCTGCGCGTTGAAAACTCAGTTTACGCTTCGTTGGTTCGTGTAGCTTTTTGAGACCTTTGGATTAGCCACCGCTTTTCTACCGAGCCATCGTCGTATTTCTATCAACTACATTCTTATATGACTCTTTTCGTTGAATGTCTTTTTGACAAATTCAAGAAACTTGTCGAGTAAAATGACGAACTAAAAAGTGTTTCGCGAAAACCATGCAACAATGTGCAGTGTGCGATTGTTTCAAACTGTTTATAAAATACCGCGTTGCGTCACCGTGTGCTTAACACGAGGCTAAGGTGATGCAGCGCGGTATGTTTTGCATCGTGCACCGCGCATTGAAATGCAAATTCTGCTTCGTTCTTTGGCTCGTGTAACTCACATTAATTTCTTATCTATTTGTTTGAGGACGTTATTGCGAGAAAAAAAAACCAAGGACTGCTGCATTCGACACCAGTTTGATACCTTGAATAAATACTTGGCAATTGATATATATTCATATGTATCACCTAAATGAAGTGGACAAAAAAAAAAAAAAAAAAGAAGAAGAAGAAGAAGAATACTTAACTAAACCTATACGATATAAGAATTCATAAAGAGAAATTTACGAGAGAGACACGAAATAGTTGCATCGAAGTCGAATACGAAATTTAAAAACCGATCGTGGTATATTTAGCGTTAACGAGTACACGCGCAGTGTGCAATTGTTTCGCGTCGTTTTAGAGAACGCTGCGTCCACATTGGGCTCGTAATCCGCGTTTAGCCCTAACCTCGTTCGAAACAATATTATCAAACGACGCCCCCGATCTACGAAGAAACGATCTCAAGTTCCGCGTCGGCAAATCAACGCGTTTCGAATACAAGAGAGCGTAGAACTTGAGAGTCCAGGCGGCGCGCGCGCGCGGTTTTCGTTGATGATTTTTCTTCGATCGCCGCTCACCCCCCCCCCTCCCCCCCTCAAACTTATCGTCATGTGCCGATCCGTTTTGTACAAATACGTTATATACAAAATGGAGCTGCTCGCAGCTCGAAAATTCTCCTGCAAGAACTCTATGTCTGCTTTCTCGCCTTTCTTCTTTTTTTCACTTTTTTGTTTATTCTCCATTAATTTTTTTTTGCTTCTTTTTTTTTTTACGTTTTAGACATAGCGAGTGTATGGTTCCTATTCGACGGGCGTTACCTTTTCTTTCCATCGGCAGAAATGAAAAACCAAAAGGCCCTCACTTAAAGTCTAGCGATTAACTAAAGGCGAAAGTGGACGTTACCGCGATCGGATATGTCGATCCGTGAAGAATGACTGGATTAGAACGATGCTCGCCTCAGTTACTCCCATGCCCTTCCTCGCTCTAACAATGTTCTCCGAGTTTTTTTTTTTTTTTTTTTTTTTTTAAATCTTTTGTAATTACGAGTTTCACCAGAGATGCACACAACGGATATTCGCGAGATTTCTCGTGAAAGAAACGAAAATTGAAAAAAAAAAAGGAAATATATGTACGTATGTATATTTATATAACACGCGTTCTCTTAAAAACGACACGGTTTTTGGACGCGAGAATCCGAAACACGAGAAAAGAAGTAGACGAAAAAAAAATAAAAAAAAAAAAAAATATAAATAATAATTTAATAGATCACACGCAAAAACGAATGCAAATATGCTCTTTTGTACATTTAAAAATGGTTACTCCTTTAGTCGTAAGTTTTATTAATAACATGGTATGTACACATATACACAATGTACAAGAAAAACCCGTACGCTGGGTCAGAATATGTCCGCCGTGTTGTAGTTTCCATATCGTACAACGAGTGTGTAACAGTAGAAAGAGTATACAAATAAAAGATTAGAAAAGGACAACCGTCGTTCCTTGCCCGACGGTTAACACGCTGCTAACCAACCTCTCGATTGACCCGTGATTTTACGCGGTGCAGCGTGGGTACAAATAAAGTACAATACAACCGCCCAACTTCGCGCGATATCGAGTGTTTCTTGTTTGTTTGTGGGTGGGTGGGTGGGTTGTGTATGTCTGTAAAGTACGTTCGCGTGTGTGTATAGAAGTCTGTGTCTGTGTGTAGAGGTTTGTATACGTGTACAAAGGTCTACGTGACTGTGTGTACGTTTGTATTTTCAAAAGAAAGAGTAAAACGCAAGAACGTTCGCGATACAACAAACAAATAAAGGCGATCCCGCCTAAGTACAAACCCAAACTCAACTCTCCGCGACTTTTCTCCGCCTTCGTATTCGTTACACATTCGCTCTCCAGCCCCCCCTCGTCTCTCAAAAAATGACCACGTTTTTTTTTTTCTTCTCCTTTATTCCTCGCGTATTTAACCGTTCTACGATAATCCCATATGTACACGTGTGCAGGACCGATGCCAGCGCGCAAAAATGCCAAAGACTTCTTCTCAAGACCAGTCGAAAACAATTCGATCGAACGTAAAGACGTTCGATCGAGAACAATTGAGTTGCCTCCGTGAATCGAAAAAAGTCCAAGCGACGAAAGCTTGGAAACTCAAATCGTCCACTTTCCCTGACAACGTCGACAATCTCCCGTGATAATCCAATTTACACCGACAAACGTCTTTGGCTCGAGTCGATTATGTTGGCCCACACCGCCAACATTGATCACCATTACCAAAACTATTTTCGGTGAACCTTCACGGTTCCACCATGATACCCCTCTCGACGAGGGTGCAAAATTTGAGCCCCGATTAAACTCTAACGAGAATCTTTAAGTTTCTCTCTCCTTCTTTACTTTCAGACCAGAGCCCGTGGTGTCGTCGCCCAGGATCGTGGCTATCTCGCCTTGCATGAACGCCCATGGCACTTGGCTGTTCGCCAGCGGACACTTCTCGCCGCTTGGACAATAAACCTGCAACGAGACGAGTCATCGTCGTATTAGGTTCTCGTGCGACCGATGAATGGCTCGAGTTTTGGAGGGGATACACCAGGCTTGAGAGTTCCAAAAATTCTGCGGCGATAAACTTTTCGAGAAACGCGAATACTTGGACATGATGTCAGTGGCGGCCGTACATAGAGGCGAAATAGGGTCTCGCATAATTTTATTGTAATTTTCTTTTCTTTATCGTTTAATATTGAAAAATTCTATTGTTCAAAATATTTGTCTAGGAAGTATTAGGATATATTCCTAGTTATATTCAAATCAATATGCACAATGCTTTTAATTTTCTACGGGAGATATTTTTGACAAGGGCTTTGCAAACCATTTGCCTTCCACTGCCTGGTGCAACCCCTTAACACTGGAACTAGCATTCGCTCAAATATTGTCTCTCGTGTATACTACTTTAACTTTGAAACAGAGAGTAAAGAGGCGAATTAACACGTTGATCGCCACTTCACCCATACATGAGTGACAGTGCTTTTCACTCATGAACAAACGAAATTAATTCTGAATGTTAAGTATCAAAGAAAAGAAATTTGAATGAAATTCTTAAACTTCGACGAAGTTGTAAAAATAGATGCTACAGTAAATGTTTGATCATGTAGTTTTCAATAGTCTGGAAACGAAACTTAATCACAGTAGAAATTTTCAGGAGTATTAATCTGGCAGTCAACGTGTTAACGGATCGACATCTACTTAGTTCCTTATTTCAATCATTTGTCAATGATACAGTGATTTTAAAAACAAATCCAAAGCAATACTCTAGAGTACGAGATAAACCTTACCTCTGAGCCAGCGCCCTGTCTCTTTATGCTCTCCCGGCTGCAAGGGAAGCAGAATTTGTGGTGCGTCATGCTGGGGCACTGAACGAAGTGCGTATCTTCGAGACGTTCTTGACACAGTGTACATTTCAGTATCGGCGCCGACACTTGCTCGGCCCCGGCGACCTGGGCGACTGCTCCTTCTGTCGATGTTGTCACTGTCGTCGACGATACGTGCCTTGAACCGCTGGACCTCCTACCCGACGGTCCTGTAAACGAACAATCGATATCGCTTAGTATCTCTAAATATTCTTGACAATAGAATAACGTAACGCAAACAAATCCTTCTACCGAACTACAGACTTGAACTACAGCACAGACTTATTGAAACTCATTTTTCTGCGGCAAGCTCTATGGGCTACTGTTTGAAGGCTGAAATTACCAGCCAAAAACGTTACACAAGTATCTATGTAATGAATTTTAATAATTCTATGCATACAAGCGACATTATCCCAACTGATATTTACCTGAGCTGTTGGGGCTGTGTTGCGAACCCCTTGAGGTGCTGCGTTGCTGGGCGTTTGCAGCAGTAGTCGGTGGGCTTCTGCTGGTCGGGCTGGGATTATTCGGTTGTTGTGGCACTGATTCGGGCGACGCCAGGTTGTCAGCAACGGACATGAGCGCTGCCATAGGGGACGGTCCATTCGTTGAACCCTGAAGGGCAAACTTACGTTCAATTTGCATGCTATATGAACATAAACGCCTATAATTAAAATATCTGAGAAATCATTAACGCTAAACCTACCAACGTTCATTTCTAACTAATGGGTGTTGGTAATGGTTGTGAAAAAATTTGTGGTGTTTACGGACAAGATGGTCTATCAAAATTTTAATGTCAAAGATGCATCACGTTGTGGTCGACCAATCACGGAACGATGGCGATGAAATCATGCAAATGGTTGAGAAACGCCACCAACTTTTTCGAATAGCCAATATTTCTATCGCGATGGGACGACTAGTTTTAAACGTACTTTTCTCAGTTAAATGCAAAAATGTTTTACGTGGAACTAAATTGAATAATGCGTTCGTATATTACATACAAGAACTGTATAAAAAAATGTTGAAAACGATCTTTGACGTATATGCTCTTAATTACCTGGTGATGATTCGACTGTGAATTATCATTGGAACCCTCCTGCGCCGGTGGTGGCGGTGGCGGAGGGCTCGTTCGTGGACGAAGAGGGGAACCTCCGCCATTCGCTGCCACATTTCCTGGCGCCAACGGAATAGACGGGCCAACGTACGCCCCTGAAAATCAAACAGTTCAATGCATCTTTACGCCAACATTCCAAGACAAGGATTCTTAACCATTGTGCCTTTGCATCGTACTTTGCAACGGTGTCGATGAAAATGAATGCAAAAATTTTCAATCGAATCATTTATCTATCATCGAACCGTGCCGCGAGCTTAAAAAGGGGTTAAGAATCGCTGTCCCAAAACGATCTACCGCACACGAATACGAACGCGACCGAGAGCGATTGCCAATCGTCGAAAATCCAAATATCGTCTCGTAAGTTTATTTTCATCTGGCCGTTTACATTTTTCATGAAAATAATCTACGCTAACATTTCCTGCTGTGCAGCTTTTAATAAGGCAATGATTCAGATGCGAGGACAGAAATAGATATCCTTTGCCCTCGCCGTGGCGAGCACGTAGCGATTACGCTTAACGAAACCAAGCGGAGGGATTTTATTATCCATCGGTACAGGGACCTCGTTTTCTACAGGTCTTAAAACATCGGAGGGACGACTAACGGCCGACTTTCGAACATTGGAAGGAGATGGAGTTATCAGCTGTCCGTTAAGTCGAACGAATTTCAATATTACCGAGAGATTTATATTCCAGAGAACACGACGATCAAGGAACAAGACGTGCCATCGACAAACGCCGGCTGTTTACGGAATGCTTTTCGTGACTTATTTATTTTTCATGACCGAGATCGTCGCTCGCACACCACAGAATGTAGAGTATTACTGGTGTTTGGATACGAGAAGACATGGCGAGGTTACGACTTTGATATTTGTTTACGAATCCCTTCCACTTGGTACTGAATTGGATGATATTAGGTGTAGAAATTAATTCTGTACCATAACATTCGATTAAGTGAAATTATTTACTCGTCACTTCCAAGTTCTCGATCTGATATATTGATCGCAATGAATCTATACGTAACCCAAGTCTTAGCCTTCTATTATTTGTTAGAATAAAAAGAACAAAATTAATTAGTGTGATACTACGTCGTTACTAATTTGATTACAAGAATGTATAGTTTACGAAACATCGTGCCACTGTTGGAACGCAGTACTGGTACTTTAAATTGTTAATTTGTGTTTAATTCCATCGGCGAACATAACCATGCCGACATTTCAATCGTCTATTTAATATTTCATGAAAACGTGATCCGTTGTCTCGCTCGAAAGAGCGTTCTTCGTTCGGTGAATCAATTATACGTTAAGAAAGGTCAACAAACAACAGTCGTTTACTTTCTTCGATATATTACAAACTCTTACGTCAGCGTTTAAAATTCTCGAAGAATATTAATGTTTCGTATACAGATAACCGTAGAAAAATAAAGCACGTTTATGTAAAGTCTATTCGGTTCGACAAACGTGAACTAACAATTCTTTAAAACTTCAGATTAACTTTCAAAGTATCGGTCTCGTTCCGTGGAAGTTGAATTTCCATAAAATATGCAACATCGGAAATAATTTTATCCGTTCGGTTTTATCGATGCTACGCAATGGAATTTACTGACAACACTCTACTTCTCGATTATCGTTCAATTATTTTTCTCGCCGATGTTTACACGGTTCCGAACCCCCGTACGGAGAAACGCATTCCCCCAGCGACAGATAAGCGCGAATCGATATTAAAAAGCACGGTTTCGTCACGTTCTACGGAGGACCGTGACATGCGATGTCTCGATATCCAGCTATTCCAGTGCAACCCAGCATCGGCACGTACCTACCCCCACCATCCAACCAGTGCGCAGTGCTGGCTTTGACAAGTTGGTCGCCACGTCACCAGAACGATTGGCTTTTTCGTTAAAGAATCAAGAGATTATATATAATAAATTCGTGCCATCTTGCATTCAGTTCATTTTTCTGCTTTATTATTTTTAAAATAAAGGTTTCTGAATTCTGAGGGCGAGGTGTTCGATCGATCTGGTATGGATTTGAGAATTTGGCGATGTTGCAAAAATAAATACTACAAGAAATGTCGTTAAGCATAGAAATGAACCATGGTGCTTTCGTATTCAATCATTTATAACCCTAGTTTAAGTAGAAACATTTAATCGTCGTTTTATTAGTATACAGGGTGTTCCAAAAATGTTGTAACACCTTGGAAGGGGTGGTTCGGGAGGTGATTTGAAACAACTTTTTCCTTAGCGAAAATGTTGTCAGAGGTTTCGTTGAAGAGATATTAACGGAAAACACTGACCAATCAGAGCGCGAGTATGCCGGTTGAGAGTAGGTTACGCGCTAGCCGGCTTCGCTCATACGCTACCGCGGGCGCTCCAACGGCATCCTCGCGCTCTGATTGGTCAGTGTTTTCCGTTAATATCTCCTTTACGGGGGCGTATATACGCTCTTCACAATCATAAGGTTAACACGAGTTAGAAGGTGGCGCCTAAATTGGGAGTTGCACCTGGGCGCCAGTCATTCCGCTGTCGTCCCTGCGCGCGAGTCACCGAGGTCTCTCGAGTAGAGAGAGCGTGGTCTACCATCGAGAAGCCGTGTGACCGGTACTTTTCCGTGACGCGACTTTGATAGAGCAAGGACCGCTGCTGGCGTCCCTCTATCTATCTCGAATCATGCGAAGAGAACGTAGGCCTGATGGAGGAAGCGAAGGGAAAGAGTAGGCGCACGCTGGATCCCAAGGAGCAAGATCGGAGGGAAAGAAAACGCATGCGCGGGTTTTATAACAGACGACATCGCATCGTGCAACGTAGGCGGTTGGCTTAGTCACACTTTTGCGCTTTGTATACAGGGTGAGGCGTTTCAGACAGGCCACCTGAATAACTCGTTTACATTCGGCGATAGACCAGTGGCACGTTTCACCTACATGGAGTCCGAGACTAAATGGAATATGGGAATTTCTTTGACACATTGGCTGCCAGGCAAACTCGTCAACATTTCTACTAGCTTAAAATTTTGTCACGATACAATCAAAAATTAAATAATCCAACATTCGTCGTGGTAATTAGACTTTTAACCGCGCCAAATTCACGAATACTATATTTATCTTCGTTAACGTCTCACCTTCGAAAGAAACTTCCGAATGCAGAATATTTTTAAAGCCCTCTTCTCATTTTACCGAGATCGTGAAAGAACCAAATTATACGACGTAAATGAAATGTTTCAACCAGAACAATAAGTCGGAAATATTGGGTTGTCCAGATAGTTCGTGCCAATTTTTAAGAAACATTCACAGACACGTTTGAATTTCGATATATATTTATTGAATTATATATATATACCATTTTGTTCCACAATTTTTCCACCTTTTGTTTTCAACCGATATATTCAGACCTGTACCGCCTACTAAAAATCGGCATGGACTTTCCAGACAACCCAATAGTAACGAAAAATTTAACCCCGAATGTCTAATTTATACATGTCGCAAGAGTTTAGTCTATATCTATAGAAGTTAAACCATTTTTACATTAACTGAAAGGGTATCGTATCTACGTATTCAATTTTATAGATAACATTAGAAAGGCAATGACGGAACGAGTATCAGTGCAAGCCAATACAGTTGTTAACCGGTCGATCATAGAATGGCCTTGTTTCGAAAGTATAACCCTCCGTGCGTTTTGTCGACGTCGCCGTCAACACCCGTTCACGGTTGACGTCTCTCTACATAGTGCACGGAGAGTTTATTCTTAGGTTACGTTTAGGAACACGGAGATAACCTTGATGAATCGTTAATGAATCGAGGAAACAACACCATTCGCGTCACGGCTAGCTAAATGTCACGTTAAAATAACAGCACTTATTTGACTTTCTGGTACTGTCCGAAACAAAAGAAAACGTTGGTCTTGAGAACACGAAACGTTCACGACAGATTTTCATGCATCGAATTTAACGCTGTTTTAATTGAAACTCCGTGTCACCCGTTAGCGGATGACGTGGAGATCAACGTGATACTTTCTACATCTAATATTTACCATTCGAATGAAAATTTGCCCACCTAACCCAAGTTCCATGACGGCGTTTGCGACACCCCATATAAAATACGACGAGGAGACACGCGAGACGGGACGAGCGCGATAATCGACCAGTGACGTAGACACCGAAGCCGATGTGTACATGCCCCTCTAGTATCTGTACGCGATCGATGGAGCATAGTCGAGAACTCGCCAAGCGTGGCCGATCATTTCGAAACACGACTCATGGCGCGTTCTCGTTACTACCGTTGATGACCGTCGTTTCTCACCCGTCTCTCCATCGTACGTGCACACGTTTCCATCAATACAGGGTGTCCCAAAAATGTTGTAACACCTTGGAAAGGGTGGTTCGGGAGGTGATTTGAAACAACTTTTTCTTTAGCGAAAATGTTGTCCGAAGCTTCGTTGAGAAGATATTAACGAAAAACACTGACCAATCAGAGCGCGAGTATGCCGGTTGAGCATAGGCTACGCGCTAGCCGGCTTCGCTCATACGCTACCGCGGGGGCTCCAACGGCATCCTCGCGCTCTGATTGGTCAGTGTTTTTCGTTAATATCTCCTCAACGAAGCATCGGACAACATTTGCGCTAAGAAAAAAGTTGTTTCAAATCACTTCCCGAACACACCTCTTTCAATGTGTTACAACATTTTTGGGACACCCTGTATATCAAACCGATCAATCACTCGAAATCAACACGACACGTTTTAATCGTATAATCGATACGAATCGAAGCGCAATTCCGAAAAGCTACCGACTTTATTGCATAATTCTTATTGGTTATTAGGTTAGAACGTACCAAATTCATCCGTTTTTAATTTGTTTAAAATCGTTTAAAACTGTGATTTGATTTTATAACTTCCTGATCAATTTATGATAAATGTACCTTGAAAAGACGTAAAATTAATTTCTATGCGTAGAACGTTATCCCTTTCGTGTCGAACGATATATCTATGTCACTATGCGTGTGAAAATGACAAATTTTAAGAAACTTGAAAAACGAATTCGCTAGTTTGGAATATAGGATCTCGTGTAGTATATTCCTGTAGTATATTCAAACTTTTTTTAGAAAATTGCCGTTACGTAAGCCTTGATACATTTACTCTGCATTAGGGAGAATGGGAGTGCTCTAGACGCAACTTAGCTCCCTTCGCAGAGGAAATTGAGTGACGGGAGAATGCAATGCGCATAGGTAAAGTGAAATGAGCAATAAATTTGAATAGTCTGACAGGGAGAATAAGGTACGGCTGGACACATAACTGCGCGCGGAACTACACCGTCTCGACAATTTTTAACGCGATAAGAACACGAGGACATTCGCATTTGTCGCGTCTGCCTGTTACTATAAATATATTTGAAAACAAAGTTAGATAAAAATTTCGAATAAAAACAACTGTTTATCTGTTACACTTCCCATTAAACGCAATGAAACTACGATAAATATTATATAAATACTTCACAGTGAACAAATAAATAGATCTTTACACGTTCATTTTATTTGCCGTCAAATACTGATCACGGCTGTATTAAAATTTTACGTACAATGATCAGACTGTGGTTTTATGCATTTATGATATGAATTAATACAATATATATGTAGTAAACATAGCCAATAGGTATGCGCACTTATGTAAAACGAAATATCACATTATTATTGTATTAATCAATATACTATCAATATATAATTAATCAATATATTCTACATACGTTATACAAATTTTTTGTTTTACTTCGTAAATGCATCAAATTGGCAGTCTAATAATAATGGCAAAAAAATACAAAATACTGTGTTGTACAATTTGACGATTCAAGGATAGAACTACGATTATCGTTTCCTGTAAAACGCAAGTTTGAAAAAAATAAAAATGATAAACGATGTTTTGGGCTTTCAAAAAAATTCTGTCACAAGACATGTTTATTTCCAGACCTTAATCTTCGTCAGCGGTTAACTATTTTTATCGAAACGCGCGTACGTAAATTGTGAATTATCTTTTAAACGGAAACGCCACCCTCGGGGATAAAAAAAAAAAACCACCATGAATAGTGGAAATTTATTTTCGATAAAAAAACGGGGGGGGGGGATACACACGCGAAAGATGTTCTCGAAAACATTGATAAAAATATATAGCGCAAGATGTGTGCGATTCTTCGATCAAAGAACTCTTCCCTCGAACAATTCACAAAGTTGAACACACTTTCTTCATTGGGTAACGGTTAAAAACTATTTCCACCATTAACAGTTAATCGCAGCCTTCTAAATGGAGATAAAATATGAATTTTTACACCGTACAGGTATTAATTCCCGTGAAAATTCCCCGATCTAGTAAAAGAAACGACGCTTAAGGACCGTTAGGTTTACCAAACGGAATCCATCGACGCTTCATTCTTCGTACGATCGTTTAAAGCCATAATAATAACTATTAATTGCAGTCATTTAAAGATACTAACGGTTTAAGGTCAGGTAACAGAAAAATAACTGAAGCGAGGTAAAACCGACCATGCTATTTCCGTTACTTCGCTAAAGTATTCTTCTTTAACGCATTTACGACTTTGAATCGACTATAATCGTCCCGTAGAAATGTATTTCACCCATAAACGAACCGAGGACAATTGTCCAGCCGAATTACGAATGGTCGCTGCAGCGAGTCCATTCGATAACCGTAAACACACGCGTTAAGGTCGAATTAGAAAGTGGCCAGTGTCGAAATAACGGTCGATGACCAAGGTCAGCCCGACTGTGGGTAGGTACGTGCGGGCAACACAAACGCGAAGTGAACCGACTCCGAGCAACGTCAACCTCTTCGTCAATGAGCAATGTTCAAACGAAAAACAGCGCAAGAAAAAAGGGGGTCACGCTACAGTTACCTTCGCGATGCAGCAAAATGTCGCAGCTCCACGGGCTCGAAACCGGTTTTCCAGAAAGTATCACACCGACGCGATCGAATTAACGCGAAGAACATAACTTCGCGCAAAGAGGCAGGGAGCTTTGCAAAACTTTCTTGATATTCGAAGCTTTAAGTACGGCGAACTGCCTTATAATAAGAAAGTAAGGTAATTATAGAGAACAGGTACATCCTCACCGATTTATATATATATATGTTGTAGAAATCAACATTTTGAACAACTTTTTCCTATACATACAGTGACTCTCAGAAATATTCGGGCACCAGTGTATGGTTAGCTTTATGGCTTAATATCATAGTTATTAAAAAAGGAATCGTCTTCGTTACTTTTTCCAATAATAAACCATTTATTAACATTGTTAAAGATTTACCTGTTCTCTATAATTACAAAAAGTAATCTTTGCTTCGCTCAGTAGTTTCTCCTCTGTGTAAAAATGTTCAATAAATGCTGCCGAGTGTGATACACCAGTGTAAACACAGTTTACGTTCGTTCGGTAAAATACGATATTTGACAGAGAAAAGCGTGGAAAAAGATGGAAACGGTTGTAACGTACACAAAGAGTTCTAGTTCGTTACGAATCGTTGATGAAATTACGCTGTGAAAATGTTCCCCAACATCGATGTGATTTGTATTAAGCAACAACGGTCTCATTCATTGTATCTAAATATACCGTGTGACGTCATTCGATTGGACGTCACGCCGGCGGCACTCGGTGGTATCTTTTGGTCGTCCTATCACGTGCTCAACGTACGTCTCTCCCTTTATACGCGTTTGGACGACTGTCCCAATGAAGGAACTTGCCCGAGAAACAGAGAAAGATGGTAGATGGCTACGCCAAGACGATCGTAGTAAGAGGAAAGAGAAGAAGGGAGAGCGCGTAACTTCCTTTAACCGCGATGATTCTACGAAGTCTAAAGGCTGAGCACGCGTTTTCCACACACGCATGCTCTTTTCTCTTGCCAGATGGCCACGCGCACGACCGAAACGCATTCCTATTTTTACTACCAACCGATAACACGAGAAAGAAACGTTCGCTTCGAAAATTAAGGTGTCGCTTTAATACGGACGTGGAAGATTAAAATCGAGCTAACAGCATCGGCAAAATCCACTCTAGATAAACGTTTCGTGTAATGAGTAAAAGATAAACATTCTTTATCGGTTATTCCTTGAATAACAATTTTTAACTCGAATTATGAAATAAATTAGCTTGATCAAGAAAATGAGGGAAGATCTTCTTGGACAACCTAGTATTTTACGATGAATATACAAATATATCGGGTGTAGAAATTATTTCTTTGCCTCTTTATTCGATAATCTATAACTCTCGAATTTTAGTGACCATCAAATTGTATTTATTGTCATTCTTTTGTAATTACTGTAATTACCAAGTGCACTTGTAATTTGTTAGAAGAATAATAATACGCAAAAATGTATGGCTATGTATATTAAATATCTCTACTTAAACTAGAGTTGTAAATTGTTAAATACAGAGACACAGTATTAATTTCTACACATGATAACATACCCGTTCGATTTCGTTATTCATAAATGGAATAAAATTTCGCCCATCTCTAACCAGTGGCCATTGAACATTCCGATGATGTGAAATTTCTTCGAACTACCAAGAATATTTATAACCTATCTTCCAACAGTTGTATTCCCGACTAAAGTTAAGGAAGATTCGATTGTAGATTTTCAAGGAACTACAATTTTAGTTCTTCTGTATAATTTCATCGAAAACGTGCATTAAGATCGCATTCGTACTTTGGAGCTTTTAGATTTTGTAATTTAATTAAATTTTAATCCAATGATGCCTCTACTTCCTACGAATTACCGTATCCTATTTTTCAAAAATTATTCAACTGCCCCCACTAAAACGAAAGAAACGAAAGCTACAGCAAGAAATGTACCGCTTCGTGATCGTATCGTATCCGAAATCTTTCAACACAGACCGTACGCACGGAAATAAAATTCAGCTAAGAACGATGAAATCGAGACACAGCCAGATGTAGAAGAAACATTACGCGTAGAAATGAATTCTCTGCCTTTCTAAGGAAAACGTTTCATCCGCGTATAAAGAAACCAACAAAGAGGAAGACAACTTTAAATCTTTCCTCGAGTAACTATTTCTATTTAAACTACATGTATTAGGTTGTCCCGAAAGTTTCTTTCGCGAGTTGCACTCAATTATTTCGTATGGTCGTGTTTATATAAATAGACAATCTAATTTCATAGATATTCACGTTGTAACAGTAATGGAGAAAAATGAATCGTACACAATTCAATAATGTAACATTAGACATAAAATATCGTGCATGTATTACTTATTAATAAATCGAAAGAAACTTTTCGGACAACCTAATACAAAGACGATGGAATGTAAAATGGCACAGAATGAATTTCTACAGCAAATATGTATAGAAATCGAGTAGCCAGATTGGTCCTCTGTGTAAGTTGACTCACCATTGGCCTTGAATGTAGTGGCAGTCTCGAAACTGGGTGCTCTCACAGGATGCTTCTCTTTGGTTCGATCCTGAACATAACTGACGGCGAGGCTTACAGCTGGCAAGGATTCGCCCCTGGTCAATGGCGGTCTAACCGGATGCTGTTCTTCCAAGGAAAGCCTCTTCTCCGCGTGTTCGTCTTCGTCGATGGTGGATATACCCCGCTTGAGCTGTGCGATGCCTCTGTTGTGGCTGAGGTTCACGTGATGTGCCACAGCGGCTAGGTGGGCGTTCGGAATTCTCACGTTATTGCTCCTCATGCCATTAGCGATTTCGTGAGTTTCCTCGTGTTGCCGCGAGATCTGTTGCCTGGTGGTGCCGGAATTGAATTCCGTGATGGAGTTACGATGGTGAAGTTGCGAGTAGCCGGCGATATTGTGATGCCTCGAATGGCTCTGACCAGTATTCTGTATCGGTAGAACATCCAAATTAGTGGCGCCGTTGTGTTCCGTGTGCCCGGTAGTTCTGTAACCCTTGGACGTCGACGATCTGGCTTCTTGAAAGCCGTGAGCCTTCTTCATCTGCTTGGCAGATTCCAATACCAGGTCTATCCTGTCGGCGCCTTCGTAATTCACGCAACCGCGGCACACGGGCTCCGAATAGTCCATGATCATGGCCCAAGGCATCCTGGGCAGATCGCACAAGTAGCACTGCGTTCTCTTCCCCATCATTTTGCTGTACTGCTTCGTCCGTGAATATTCGACGGAATCACAAAAAATACGTACAAGTCGATAATATCACTCACATCCACTTTAAACACGTCTATTATCCTGTTTCTGGATTTTCCCACGCGCACGAACGAACCGGGCACCAAGTCGATTTTGTTTACAGCATTCTCGAGGCTCGAGGTAACCTCACCGCGTATAAACACCACACAGAAACCAACTTCACTACCGAGAAAAGAAATCCACTCGATGTGTTTGGCCGAGCTTAGCGAAAACAACCGATTCGTTCGACTGCTCGACGCACCGAGTTTCTCGCGTTTATTCTTTTCACTCGAGTGCCGTGGGGGCTACATGGATCGAGACACGGCGAAACGACGCTTCGAGAGTTCGTCGATTATTCGCGAGCGCGTATTACTGGCCGCTCGAAGCGAGCTACGCGCCGTAGAGGCGGAGCAGAGAAAAAAGAACAACTGCGATTCTCGGACGCTCGGATATTTTTGCCCACAACTTACAACTGCGGTGATCGGTCGATCGTGATCGACTAATGACTAAGTCATTAGTGTAACGCACGTACGCGCGCTGACAAAACCCGGGGAAATCGTATTCTAGGTTAAACACGAGACACGAAGTAAATGGTATGCGGCGCGTACACGACGTGTGTGCTCTCGCTCGCCTAGTTGCCGTACGAGGAGACGAACGCTCGAGAATGCGGTGGTAAAGCGGAGCTACGGGTGTCGCTCTCCCCCCACCCTCCTCCTCCTCTGGCCACTAGTTCCTTTCTCCTCGCCCCACTACCCCGCCACAGGGTCCATGATTCGACCAACGACGACGACGACGACACAACGACTAGCTACGACGCGCTCCGCCAATCGGGCGTTGTGGCGTCATGGTGCGTGACGTCATAATCGCGAAGCTGCGCATGCGCACCGCCGGATGCCCTAGGGGGACACGTAGTCAGCGACCGGGACTCTGAGCGCGAACAGACCGATAAAGAGAGAAAGGCCAATGAGAAAATAAGATGGCGATAGCACACGCGCGCGCACTCACTCCCTCTACCCGCTTTTTGCAACCAGAGGTCCGCTTTACACTCGAGAAAATTCTACTAACGAACTTGGTCGATTTTACTGAACACGGATGGATCTTAACACTTTTAATTTAATAATATCTCGTATATGATATCGATTCGTTCAAATTCGATTACGTTAAAGTTGAAAAATGTTTAATCAAAACATTACGTAGAAAAACTAATTTACGAAATTTTGTATCTTATTGAACCGCGACGATAACGTCGTAATACTTATTGTAAATACCATACGTTACGTTAATCAAAATTGTTTAAACTATAATTCGTGTACTTATACATTTTTTATAATAATAATAATAATTTCAATTCTTCGTAATTTCATCATTTCAAGATGAAAATACGACTTCGTAATCCTAACGCCGATGTTGTAACGTTTAATCTATTTTATCGAGATTACATTCGTCGTAAACCGATAACTAGATATAATTTTTCAAAAAGAACTTATAAATGGTAATCTTGAATGACATAAACAATGACTTATTCATACCATAACACGAGCCTAACGATCACATGATGGCGTGCTATTTTATCGGGGTTTCTTTCGCGATAAGGGAATACGCGATACATAATGGTAACAGGAGGCTTGGCATATACATAACAATTTGTTCGATTATTAATTACGATGCGATTGTTACAACAATGAAGTATACGTAAACGAAATTGTAGGTTATGGTCGGTAGATAACTGAAAGAAAACGTATCGTTCTTCGACTTCTTTGTTTGTTAAATATTTTACATATTTACAGCGAATCCTGTCTAACAGACGTCTCCCGGTTATTAACAAAAATGAGAGGTATATATAAATTTAAGATAAATTTCTCCTGTAAAACAAAATCGAAAAGTCCTTCGTCATTTTGCAATTTAAAGCTTCGTTGGCCAGATATAATCACTTAAAAGTTTATCATTTGCCTTTCGGTGCGCGCCATTTATAACCTAGTCAGCTGATCGCGCAGGCCACGTATATGGGAACATCGTAAAATTGTAAAAGCTGATCGTATACCGGCACGATTAACAACGGTCTCGTGAAGGAAAGAGCGAGATAAGATAGTAGCATTACTTTATCGGAAAACGTATTAAATTATGTTATCTTTTCGTCATCTTTTTTCTGTAGGTACGCGCGATATCCGGCTCGATTTTATATTTCGTTCGAGCGAAGCCTGATAAAGACTTTACGTAATCTGTAGCAAGAGTGTTGCGTATCAACGTTCAAATTCGTAATGTAACAAATTTGTAAATATCAAATGGAACTCTTTATCACGTTTGTAAATATCAAGCGTTTCTCTACATTTATTCGAATAAAAGTAACGTGTAACTTTGTTCGTGATGCTCTTTGCGATATAACAATTATATTTAAAAAAAGAAGCTTATCGGTTTTGCAAACAATATTTAATACTCGTCGATTTAATTATCCACGTGTATCAAATTGTTAACGATGGTCTGTGTATGCGTTATGTTTTTCTACTATACACAAACGTTCGAGTTTGTAAGGAAATGACATCACTCTGACATCATACTGTAATACTGCTTTGCTGCAGTCGAAACAAAAAATTATTAAATAAACAGGAAAAGTGAATGACACCATAGTTTGAATAGCCTGATAATAGGTTCTCGTTCTCACCTAACGAAGATAAAAGAATATTAAGGAAAGATTATGTGCGAAAATTAATTCGGTGCCTTTATATTCAATCAAGAATCTTTCGAAAATTAATTTATTAAACTGATATTTTTCTTTCGTTTTACTTTATCGTAGCGATACACGTTTGAAAATTGCGCGCACATTTGAAAGAACATTGCCATATCGTTTCGTTATCAGGATCCTTAGGCAGCATTTATCTATCGCAGCTCTATCAATAGCAAGGTCGAAAGCTGGATCGAGTGTACTGTACCTGCGTCCGACCATATAAATGTGCCCAACACGGATTTAGCCGATTGGTAATTTCTGTGTGACCTCTTCGATGATAACTCGGCCATGTGCAAGGCTGGTGTACATCATTGCGGCCAAACTTGTGGAATATATTAAACGCTATCGAACTTATATTGCCAAAAATGGACGGTTTTATCATTCGCTGCTATGATAAAGTTTTATCTACTGTCGCCGTTCTGCCAAAATATTGGCTGTCGTAATTAGATCAAGGATTTAAAACATCGTGGCACACGCATATTTTAAATCCTTGATTTAATCGTTTATCGTGAACAAAATAAATTACGTCTATCTTCTTAAACGATAAAGAAACGCCGCGCCTTTTAGACGTCGAGGGAACCGATTTATATATCCTCTCCAAGCTCGAGGTTTGCTCTACTAGGCTCTCATGCTCTTGAGCAGGATTCCCTGTATATTATTGTATAATTTGTAACCTTAAATATTTACGTACACATTAACGGCGAATCTTTACGCCCTTCGAATTATAATCGTAAAAATGTCTCCGAGGAGGTCGCGGGGTCTCTTTTACGCGAGCAATTCGATTAAGAAGCCGAAGAAAATGATAAGAACAAAAAATGAAAGTGTTGATTATTGCCACGTGGAAGTTGATAAAAAAGATGACCTGAACGGAAGGTCGAAACGTTTATTATAAATAACAACAAGCCTGTACCCGACTAACTAGGTCGTTTTGGCTCTCCCAATTTATAAACATTAGCTTTATCTTTCTATCGTTTCAAAACTTTTCTCTACGCTACTCCTATCCTATTCCGACGTCTGTAATCGTGAAAAAAAAAAAAATATTTCGTGCACGTGTAACGTATGTGCGACGAGTATACGCTACCAAGTTACTATATTTCCTAGGGGCGCTTGATAGGTCGGCTTTATCATATTTAATACGACGCGGTGCAAAATTGTTTCCGCTTCGACGAGACACGCGATAGACATGCCTGGGTTCGATCAAGTTTTCTTTAAATCGAAATCACGGCTCCTTTTTTTTCTCGATTAAACTAACTTTGTGGTTGAAAAATTTTACATTCGTTCGATTTATATATATTATATATATATTATATATATTTATATATAGTTAGTCAAAGTGCTTTGCAATAATATAAATTTTATGCGAGCAATAAAAGTTGGACTTAATTAAAACTAAGTGCATACACGTGCCGTGAAAATTTGTAGATATCTTAAATATTGATAATTATCTACTCCGAGCGGAAGATTTCTTCAAGTCTGGTCACGTGAATGAATGTTATGTTTACAATCTTGCAATAGCCCGTATCAGTCCCCCAGCTCGTCATCGACGATACACGAGCTCGAGCCTCGCAAACATTAAGATTTCAATCTCGGGGTACGATAATTTCTTAAATATTAATGTTTGATAACTCCACGATAAATATCCGGACACACCTGGGCAAGTGTCGTAGGGTTATCATCGGTTCAACGATTACGTAACAGACTTTTAATTGCTTTTCCGCAAAACGTATGTTTTCGCTACGTTGTTAACAACGAGTAACGAGAAGATATAGTCGCTTCTGTCGTTACGATTTATCAACGATTCGCTATGTAACTGGTATCTACCATCTGTTATTTCCTGATAAAAGCGTTATTTCACTCTACGGGACAATCGCCATTCAATCGTTTCTGGAAACCGTTACGCGTTACAAGAATGCTTATCGATTGACAAACTGATACTCGATGAAAATTCCAACACGGCTAAAATGTTGTCTCTTTATATGTGTGTGAAGTTAGCCCCGCACTTTTCGAATTTTCAGTTTTTCTTTTTTTGCGCCGTGTTGTGCTATATTTGTGCTGAATTGTGCCGTAAATAAGAGATCGATAACATCGATAACAATTAAGAAAAGAAACAAAACCGAAATTATACTAGCCCCGCACTTTTGCCGAAACAAACTTTTTTTTCTATAGAAAGACGCGTACCAACTTATGCTACATTGTGCCATTGATAGAAATTCGTTATCTCTACTCGTTTCGCGGATAAAAAATGTTGAATTTCAAGGAATAACAAATTTGATATTCGCACAATTTGCGAACGGCGACAGATAATCGAATTCTTCAAGTTGTGCTAAATTGTGCTACTTACGGTACACGAGACACGTGCGTTAAAAATTGAGATTAGCTCGAAGGTCAATAAAAATTAACAAAAAAAAGGTGGCGGTGATTAAAAATTGTGATATTTCCGAATATTCTTTGATTGTACCGGATTGTGCTAGACTAGCACAACAACTATTCCTAATTACAAAATCTCGTCAGATCGCCAAATTTCGCAGCGTTGGCAAAGTTAGGAATCAGACGTTAAGAATTTGCATTCGCAGTTGCATCGCGCTCGCGGGTAGCGGAGTGCAGTAACGCCTCGATAAATGCACAAGCTCGGGATTGAAAGTGTGCATTTATCACGGAGTTCCCACATTCTTTGATCTTTGCCGACAGCTTCGGCTTATTTCGCTTATTTCTTTTCTTAATTGTTATCGATGTTATCGATCTCTTATTTACGGCCCGAATTCAGCACAAATATAGCACAATACGGCACAAGAAAGAAAAACTAAAAATTCGAAAAGTCCAGGGCTAACTTCACACGCATTCTCTTTATGCAAAATGTTTTAAGCCGGGCTGGTATATCGAGAAACTGGCTCCGCCGATTTTTCTCGTCAACTCGGAATCTCGAGAGTCGAGGGTACGTTCTTATCGAAAGGAATACGAATGCAAATCGTAGCTAGTACACCGACTGCGAAGTGGGTAGATGCGAACACCGATTACTCCTATCGAG